CGACGCCGCAGCAATTAAAACGACAAACGGCTGCGCGCGCTCGGAGTGCACCAGTGAAGAAAATGCATTCGTCATCACAGAGCATGCTGTGAGGAACACCTTCAGGAGGGTGAACACCAGGAAGGCAGCAGGACCAGATGCAATCCCTGGCCGGGTCCTTAGAGCCTGTGCTGATCAACTAGCACCGGTGTTCACAGAGATCTTCAACCTCTCCCTGGCCCAAGCTGTGGTTCCCACGTGCTTCAAACAGTCCATCATTGTCCCTGTTCCAAAGAAACAACAGCCCGCTTGCCACAATGACTACCGTCCAGTAGCACTGACTTCAATTGTGATGAAGTGTTTTGAAAGACTGATGAGAGATCACATCACTTCTTCACTTCCTGCCACCATCGACTCACTTCAGTTTGCTTACCGGACTAATCGTTCCACAGACGATGCCATATCTCACCTGCTCCACACATCCCTGAGTCACCTGGACACTGGCAGAGGGAATTATGTTAGGATGCTGTTCGTGGACTACAGTTCAGCATTCAACACAATAATTCCCTCTAAGCTTTTCACCAAGTTGATGGATCTAGGACTCAGCTCATCACTGTGTCAGTGGATCCTCAACTTCCTCACAGACAGACCCCAATCACTGAGGGTGGGAAAACAAGTCTCCCCCTCCATCTCACTCAGCACTGGAGTGCCTCAGGGCTGTGTTTTAAGCCCCCTGCTGTGCTCACTGTACACTTATGACTGTGTAGCCACATCCGACACCACCTCCATTGTCAAGTTTGCTGACGACACTGTTGTTGTGGGCCTGATCTCCGACAACATCGAGACGGCCTACCTGGAGGAGATTAGGAACCTGGAGACCTGGTGCCAGGAGAATAACCTCCTCCTAAACATCAGCAAGACCAAGGAGCTGATCGTGGACTTCACTACAAAGCAGGGGAGGAATTACAAACCCCTCATCATCAGTGGCACGCCAGTGGAGAGAGTGGACAGTTTCCGATACCTGGGTGTCCACATCACTCAGGACTCAGGTCCTGTCACATCAACACCCTGGTTAAGAAAGCCCGTCAGCGTCTCTTCTTCCTCAGAAGACTTAGAGACTTCCATCTGCCACTGAAGGTGCTCAAGAACTTCTACTCCTGCACCATCGAGAGCGTCCTGACGGCAAACATATGGACCTGGTTTGGGAACAGTACCAAGCAGGACAGACGAGATCTGCAAAGGGTGGTGCGCTCGGCAGAACGCATCATTCAATCAGAGCTCCCTGACCTGCTGTCCATCTACACCAAGCGGTGCAAGTCCAAAGCTAGGAAGATTATGATGGACCTCTCCCATCCCAACAATGGACTCTTCTCACTGTTGAGGTCTGGGAAGCGCTTCCGCTCCCTTAAGGCCAAAACAGAGAGAATGAGGAGGAGCTTCTTCCCCCAGGCTATTCAGGGCCTGAACCAGGTGTAGGACTGGACTCTCCCAAACACGTCACCACACATGTCCTATAATCCTATAATTCCTATAATTTATAATCCTTATCTTTATAATCTCTTCTGCTATTTGCACATTCTTTACTGTAAATTCCTAAGTTAATTTGTAAATTTTTGTAGTAAACTGTAAATTGTAAATATTGTAAAACTTTTCTTCTGTCATTTAATGGTCGGGCATTGTACAGCTACAAGCATTTCACCCCCATGTCATACTGTGTATGGTTGTGTGTGTGTGTGTGTGTGTGTGTGTGTGTGTGTGTGTGTGTGACAAATAAAATTTGAATTTGAATTTGAATTTGATGCAGTCATTGACAGGAATTAGGTTCTTTTAAATGTGGTCGTTAAGAGTGTTGCATCGCACCAAAAAAGGTTGTTGGTTGGAATCGTTTAGGCTGAATTGTGTCTTTGACTTTGGCTGTGAGTATCTACACCTACCCACTACGGTGTGGGTGTAGATGTGTAGACCTCTCACTCTTGTGTCATCAGCTTCACTCCATCCACCCTCTCTCTATTCCCCTGAACCAGGTCCCTGAACCGGATAAGATGTAAAGAGAATTAATATGTGTGTGGATTAAGATTATTACGCTGGAAACACAGTTAGAATAACTAAAACTTAAAAACGTGTTTAAAAGCGGGAGTAGAAAAAAATGGAAACTAATCGCACGTCAGCAGGAAGCCACTGCTCCTTCTTCTTATTTTACTTTCAGACTCAGACTGACATGAAGCGCTTCCTTCCTTCATGTTACTGAAGAAAACAGCCTGTTTTATAATTTTTCTCTCGTCTGCATGAAGAGAATGGTGGTGACGATCAGCTAATTAAGCTCCTGTCTGAACAGGTGAGCTGCTTCTTCTCTGTCATTCAGCTGTTGTGCAACTCTTGCTGGGATTTGTAAATAATTGTCATTTTCCTTGCCCGCGCTCTTGAACTACAGGTTAATTAAAAATCGAAATAAAGAGGAACTAACTGCTGCTTTTGATTTTTGTGGGCTGTTAACTTTTTACTGTTTACTGTAATTAATAGGAATTTCCCGTCACTTGATTTGGAGTTTTTCAGGCTTCCTTTACTGTTGCAGAAAACTTCCTGTTTTTCTGGCACTAAAATTCCCTGCTAACATTTATGTAAGCTTGTATTATTATTATTATTATTATTATTATTATTATTATTATTATTATTATTAATGGCACCTGGAAAGAGGTAAATACAGGGGGCAGCGGGGGCCTGGGAAAAAAAAATAAGCGCTTTAAAATTGTTGCGAAGTGGGCGGAGGGAGAGAGACAGACTTGTATTTATCAGCTGCTGTCAGTCAGCGTCTGTCTCACACTCACTGTAGATGGATGTAGCAGAGTTTAGGTGCAGTGTGTCTCTCTCAGCTTTAAAGCTCACCTTTATGCTGCTTTTCGCTCTCTCACCTGTTGATGGTAAGATTTCTCTGCCATATGAGTCCAGTTTTGTTTAAGCTTTAATTCATGTTAGTCGTATTTTTGTTTCCGATGCACCTTGAGCGTCTGTCAATGATGCAAATAATTAAACTTGCTTTAGTTACAAATATAATTTAATGGGAGTATTTAAAAACAGTGGCAAACTCAGTGATGATGTAGCAGCAGTCTGTTATACTGGCTGATGTTGCAGATGTTTCACACTGTAAATAAAAGCAGACGCTGTATCCAAGTGTAAATTAGTCTAAAAATACTGCACCAAAAATTGTGCCTTACTCTTCTGTGTAAAGTTATGTGGGGGGTTTAGAAAGGGAGCTCATTTTTTTTTTTATTATTATGCTGTCAGAGTTTAGCTATTTCTTTTAGTTTATAGGTCTATATATATTGTGTTTGGAAATAAAACAGATGTTTAAATCATAAATAACTGAGCTGAATCTATTAGTCAGGTTTGAGCATTTCACTATAGAAGTTTCTAGTTTCTGTGTCAGTTTAAAGATTTTTACTAACTTAATTCATTTATTTTTAAACCTGTAGCTAAACAGCCAAATAGAAACTTTCTGAAATGGTCAGTTATTTTGGGATGGTGGTGATAATTAGCTGTGAAAATGATTCATTTTATTAATGCTTGCTTGTACAGAGACACATGTAGCATTAACCAAAGCTACATTTCCACAGTGTTTACAGCCTGAGCCAAGCTAGCTTGGTGCATGTTGTAAATGAGCCACTAAGCTATAATACATGAATTGGAACATGTAAATAAAGAAGGAAGAGCACAAAACATTCAGGTTATAAACAAGGATAAAGTGCATGCAACTGATTCCTTTTTGTTAACTGACGTGTAAACGGTGACAGTCAGGATCCACTTTGTTCTCCACATGCTTTGCAAACAGAGGAATCTTTCTGTCAGTGATTTGATTTTGCTCGTCTTAATCTTCTTAATCACTGTTTTTGAAGTTACAGGTACTCTTTTGTGTTATTTACCATTATTATTTTACTTTTAGAATAATGTAACTTACATTCAATGCAAGAATACGATGTAAAGACCTGAAGCCTGCCCCACAGCTGTGTGGAGCTTTGGGTCTATTTTAAAACAGGCTTTGGTTCTAAAATTAAAGCTGTGCTGATTTCAGAGACCCAAACCTGTCCATGTTGCACATTTTACTGAGATGCATGTTTAACACTGTTAGAGCTGCACTTTTTCAGCATTTATCAGCTGCCATGAGACAGTTTCTGCCTCCCTCTCACTGTAGATGGATGTAGCAGAGTTTAGGTTCAGTGTGTCTCTCTCAGCTTTATGCTGCATTTTGCTCTCAAGTCTATTGAAGGTAAGATTTCACTGCAATTAAAAAAGTAATAATTCTGAAATACTAGTTACTTCATATCTTTAGAAAACATTTAAGCTTTAATTCATGTTAATCATCTTTTTTTGGCCGTGCTTCTGATGCGCTGTCACCGTGTTTACACTTGCGAGTTTATACACAAATATAGAAATAATGATAATGGAAGTGATTTAAAACTGTGATAAAAGTCAGTGATGATGTAGCACCAGTCTGAAAGTCTGTTATACTGGCAGATGATGCAGAAAACGTGTAGTATATGTGGCTTTTGCGTTTATTTATTTTTAAATATTTCTTTCGCACACGTATAACTGGATAACGTAGTGGTGACAACATTGGCCTTTGGAACTTGGTCGGGGGTCCAACTCCGAGTTCCTCAAAAGAGATTTAAAAAAAAAACCCCAAAAACACCAGGTCCTAGGAGATTAAAGACATTTTTTTGAATTGTCATACTTAACTTGGTTTTCAGCAGGATGTATTTCTTTATTTTCTTTATTTTTCTTCTCCTCAGGTCAGTTACATGTGGTTGGATCTCCTCAGCCTATCGTAGCTGCTCCAGGTGATGATGTCATCCTGCCGTGTCACATGGAGCCAAAGTTTAACGTGGTGGGACTGACGGTGGAGTGGTCGAGGCCCGATCGTAATATGGAATATGTACATCTATACAGGCACAACAGGGAGATGACGTACATTGGGAGGACGGCGTTGTTCACAGACGGCCTGAGAGAAGGAAACATCTCACTAAGAATCACCAATGTGACACAAGAAGATGAAGGAAGATACAGATGTTTCGTCCCAAAGTTAAAGAGTCAAACAAGGTCTTTAGTTGTTCATCTGATTGTTGGTGAGTCAGACTGAAAAGATTTTTGTTGTTTGGTTTTAAACTTACTGCGTACTTGGGTTATTTTACCAACAACTTATTTTTGCTCATTGAAGAATATTTGAATATATTGTAAATAATTTAAAATCTTCTGTTCTGCCAAACTTAAATTCAGCTAAAACTGTGACAACAGAGACACCACTGCATCCTGAAACTCTCCAAACTCCTAATCTGGCAGAAGACTTTCACAGTAAAGGTGAGAACATGAGGAACAAATCAAGACAGTTAAAAAGCCTTAAAATAACCAGTTTACAGCTGGATCAAAATCATCTTTAGGGTGTGGTTTTCTCTCACTGGTGGCACCCTCTCTTTGTTGTCCTTAACATGTGCACCTCTTAAATTGAAGCACATACAGGAAGTGTAGTGTACTTTCCTTAAGCAGCTCTGATCTGTTGTCTTTCTGTGAAGCAATAAAGCGACCAGTCCTGACCATCAGCAGTGATATCTCAGTAATTCAAACTTTATTTAACTGTTATGTAACTTCTGTGCTTGGTAGTTTAATAAATGTGACATTCATGTTGTGTCTTACAGTAGATCTCATCTCTGTTTGGTTTTTCCTGGCAGGTGGTATGACCCGTCGGAGCCGACTGATCCCACTTGTGGTTTTCGTTTTTTTTTTGCTGCTCTGTGTCGCAGTCGCAGGAGGCTGGTTCATTGAGTCAAAGCGTAGAAAAACAGAAGTATGTAAAATACTTGAATCTTTGATTTTATGCATTTACCTCATGGCTGAAGGATGGAAATCAAGGAAAACTGTGTGTCTGTTCTTTCTTACTCCAGCTTGCGAGTGCAACTTCATAGGTGACTCTTGGACAAATTGGAAACATTTACAGAGGTGAAAGCATCACCCACTTCACTTAATTTTTTGTTTAAGGATTCAAAGCAACAACGTTTCCAGCCTCATGTGGATACGGCGGCTCTGCAGCAGGAGGATTTCACAATGTCTTGTAATTTATTGGGAGTCACGCTGAACCCCTGGTTTAAACAAGACAGTGAAAGAACAACCATCCTTGGTGCCAAAGTTGACTTCTGGGATCAAACTTCAAAAGCGTGAAGTGGTCTGCTGTAGAGCAGAACTCTAAAAATATTTTTCGTGACTGTTTGAGCAAATCTTCTGTCCAAGTTAGTTTCATGTGAGGAAACCTGTACAAGGACACAGAGAAGCATTTAGGTCGACGTTCTTTTCTGCGGTTATTTTTAGTTTTATAGATGGATGGATGGATGGATGGATGGATAGATAGATAGATAAAAATAATATTTTTAGTGGTAGATTTTTGTTTTTTTTAATCTAGTGAACTTTAAAAAGCCCTTCAGTTACTTTACAGTCATAACTAAAGTGCTTTGAGCAGGGCAGCTGTCTTTGACTAAAATAATAACCAATGTCATCAAAGCTGATTTATGTTAATGCTGTTTTTAAGAGGTTGCATTTTTTTTTAAATTTTATTTAAAAATAAAGGTCGGTCTCTTTCAAACATTGCTGTTTCTGATTTATAAAGTATGAACTTTAACGTTTCCTCTCTTTATTCTTATGGCTCAGAAATCAATTTGTGTTGCAATTTAAAAAAAAAAAATTAAAAATTAACTGCAGTTCATTTTAATTTAACAAAACCTTGATGCACTGAACCAGTGGCGGAGCGGGGGGATGGCTTACTGGGCTTAAGCCCGGGTTGTTTTTTCAGAAGCCCGGGGTATTTTGGAGTGTAATTTTTTCATAGTTAGATGCCTGGCTGACAACTGTATAAAACAAAAACTACACACAATATTCGAAGCACATAGTGCACACTGTGGGAATTTACGACTGTGCGTGAATCCCCCATATTGGTATGATCCGAGCTCAGGCACTAAGTGACTGAGCGAGGGGGCGGGGCAGCTGCCGCCTGTTAGTGAGCTGTTGGAGAAACGGAGCCAGGCAGACAGAGGAGAACTGAAGTTTGACAGGAAAGCAAATCATTCGTACTGTACAAATAATGTAAATATGACGGTGTATCACGAAAGATTGATATCAAACTGATCACTTGACCAATATTACGTTACTTGTTCTTCGAGTGAATCAACAAATGGCGAAATGAAAATCCGAACAACAACAATGCTGTTTCTTTAGAGAGTCTTAGCTTACATGTGTTTCATATTTTCAGTTGTTTCCCTCCACGGCTAAATAAATCAGTTTCAGTAATGCACTGATATACAAGAATGGACATAAGGGGCTTCTTTCAAAGAAAAAACTCTGGTAGTATTTTATATATTATGCTTTGTATGTTGTTCAGTACATTTCTATGCAAAACAAGAGGAACTTCAATACACAGCAGTATATTCACAATTTAAACCAGATATTTACATACACTTTATGGAAAACACAAGAACATTTTTTACTGTACAACATCAATTTAAAGTAAACTTGTTTTGTTTTGGATAAATAAATATTGAAATATTTTTTGAATTAGTTAAATGTCAGAATAAAGAGAGACAGAGCTGTCTATTTTTTATCACTTTCATCAAATGTAGGAGTACATGTACACTAAGTTTATTGTTAATTAATAAGAAAACTGCAGACGATTCCATTCTGAGCTGACGAAGCTTCTGATTGGTTAGTAGAGTCCATGTGAGTAAATTGGTGGCACAGCTGTGGATGCATATAAGGCAAAACACAGAGCCTGTTTCTGTGACATGGGAACATCAGGAGATGTCAACCAAAACACCAGAAGAAGAATTGTGGAGCTCCATTGTGGCTCAATTTTGAATACAATTTGGTGCCATTTACAATTAAGAAACACAGATAGTTTCTCTCTTTACTCTTAAAGTTAACAAATATGTTTTTATATTTATCAATCTAAAAAAATAAACATTTAGTCTGATTTGATGTTACAATTAAAAAAGTGTTTTGATCTGAAGAGTGTGTAAATATCTGGTTTCAACTGTATATTTGATGACTGTCAGCACAAAGAGGGAGAGAGAGGAACAGAGTGGGAGATGGAGAATGAGGACAGAACAGAGATGAACAAGAGCAGGTGAGACACACATGTTAGTCAAATGGTTGTTTACCAAAAGTATCACCGTATCATAGGTCCTCATGTATCTCGTACCTAGTGTTTCTTTTTAGGTTTGTTATTTTTCAAATTCTACATTTACTAAGTTATGCAGGCTTGTTTGCACAACGAGGCTAAATAATTATATAAACCTTTCTCAGTCTAAATAGTGGACTTTGGTAGAATTAAAAAATAAGTGTAGTGCAGGTCTATGATGATTTTTAGTGCTACTATCATCTAGTTCTGATTGTGGTTCTGTCTTGGTTAAGTCCCAAGTAGTCCTGATTTTGAACTGTTGTAGTCCTGTTTTAAGCCCCAGGTGTATCAAATGTCTGCCCCCGCCTCTGCACTGAACAATGATGCGCCTTCTTTAGCAGCAGGTTTAGATGGGGAATTCCAAATTATTTAACTGGTTTATTCACTTATCCTCCAACCTCTGCCAATTTCTTAGAATTAAATGCATTAAATGTATAAACCTGTTTCCAGTCATACGCTTGCCCTCAGCATTTAGCAGCAGAATTCAACCCACAACACTGACCTCAAGTAGTAATCTCGATGCCTACACAGTGCTGTTGGCCCTGTGTAGGCACAGCCACTCAGGGCTTGTGTGAGACAAATGTGGGTTTTCCCTATCCACACAGCCTCATCGTTCAGCCGCACCGACTCTCCTGGTATCTTTGGTCAACTCAAATGCCCAAGAGTGCCATCAGTGCCAGTGGAGAACCTGCTTTTTAAACTTGTTATTCAAAGTTCAGAAGTTGAAGCTTCACCACCAGCTTATTTGAATCAACAGCTGATGTTCACCATCCAAAGCTCTGAAACCTGAGCTACCTCTAGAAACTAACACAAAAACACAAGCCTGACCCTGGTTTCTGGTTGTGTAGTGTTCTTCGGTCTCTCTGGGATGTGAGTGTGTGACAGGCTATGGTTTCTCTTAAAATGTCTTATAACAACAACTTTTTTACTCAGTTTTTTTTGGTATATACACCAAAATACCAAAAAAAGAACCATTATTACCTCTCACAAGTTGCCATAATAACTACAGTAATTTAAATGTTACACATAAAATTGAAAGGTGAGATAAGTGATAAAGAATTGTACATGTGAGCAGTTACAATTGACTGATATTACTCATCGCGTGAGCCTGGACTTAACCACAGAGCATTACACTCTGACTGGATAGGTGAACCTGCTGCTTCTCTGTGATTCAGTTTTCACTTTGTGTCAGAAGGAAAGAAGAGACTCATAGCTGCTGACCTACTTGATTCAACTGAAGACGTCAGGTTTTTGCTGTAATTTCATTTTTTTTTCAGTAAATCAAAAGGAGGAAAAGACAAAAAAAAAAAAAAATAGATTAGATCTTTATTTTCACTGTTACCAGAACAATGAAACACAGTTTAGCATCTTTCCATTGACAGCATGTAGTTTTACATTGTTTGTTTTAGGATAAGAGAAGTAGATAAAAATAGACATAAGTTTCAGGAATATCTACTCAGGGAATGTGTGTAACACACTATAACATAAGTATCTACCCAATAACACAGGCATTTACATTTACACCAGAAAGATATGCACAAGTTATACATACACATGCGTACATATGAGTACATATACACTTATACACACATATATATGTATGTACACATATGTAAGTTTGTGCATTTGTCACTCTGCAGTGTGAATGTTGAAGAAAAAGCACTTAGTTGAATGTGCATGCATGGATGTGTAAATGGGACATGTTGTATAAAGTGCTGTTCATGCACACATTGAGTACAAAAGTGCTGTACTCTAAAATAACATGTCCATAGATGTATCACATGCTGTGTCCATGCAGGGTGAGATGGAGACAGAGGGACGAGAGGTGACTCATGTTCATCAGTGACTCAGTTTCTTGTCTCTTTCTCATATTGAAGATGCGATCGTGGCTCAAGAGTTGGGCGTTCGCCTTGTAATCGGAAGGTTGCCGGTTCGAGCCCCGGCTTGGACAGTCTCGGTCGTTGTGTCCTTGGGCAAGACACTTCACCCGTTGCCTACTGGTGGTGGTCAGAGGGCCCGGTGGCGCCAGTGTCCGGCAGCCTCACCTCTGTCAGTGCGCCCCAGGGTGGCTGTGGCTACAATGTAGCTTGTCATTACCAGTGTGTGAACATGTGTGTGAATGGGTGGATGACTGGATATGTAAAGCGCTTTGGGGTCCTTAGGGACTAGTAAAGCGCTATATAAATACAGGCCATTTACCATTCAAGATGCTACAGTTACTGAAAAAAAAAGACTTTTGAAAGCATCATCAGGAAAACTTTGATGATGGCCTGTGTGATTTTGATGCGATGTTTATCTGTTTAGAATTAACACAAAGCACAATAATGTCTGAGTCAAGATTGTTTCCAATGTGTATCAAAAATAGATGATTAAAATACACAAAACACAAAATAAAGTAGGATCACCACAAAACATATAAAATACAGCACGAATCAGGAGATCTGGTGACTCTTTGACTGATTGCTCTTTTCAAAGAACCAGTAGTTATGTCATTGTCATTTACATCTCTGAAGTGACCACATCTTTTTTTCTTGGTTATGTTGA